TCAGCAGTTCCCCCTGCAGTGTCCTACTTATGGCACAAATCAAGGGGGCTCCAATTAGAGTTTCTGGCCCAAGCCATACTCAAATGTTTGACTTTGGATTTATAAGAAAGGTTTTCACAGATTCCTTGCCCTCACCATGGTTGTAGGCAGAATTCCTGCTGTCTCCAGAGCTTCCCACCAGCAATGATGCACCGTGGTCCGATATCATCCCTAAAAAAACTCCTGTCTCTCCTGCCTGCTCTCTGCTCTGCTGCCCACCCCCAGCTCTCAATGACTCTGGGATTTTTTACCCTTTCCTGAATTTGAGAAGGAGGCAGAAGAGCAAAAACTCTACTCCCTGACTGCTTAATGATGGGGAACTAATCCAGAAACACAGCTTGGAATTAAAAACCCTTCCAGCCTTTATTATTTCTATGCATCATGTTTGTTTGGAGCAAAACTCAGCAGCTCAAATAATCTGCTCCGTGTCAGAGCAGAGATGTGGAAACACAGCTTGCTCACAGGGTTATGGGGAATCTCTTTAGGAGCAGAGATCTCATCCCTGAGGAGTCACAGGCAGCTGGGAATCTGCCCCAGGACCTTCTTTTGGGTAAGGATGGAGAAGAGATTCCTCCTGCCTGCAGCCCAGGTGTCCCCATGGACAGGTGAGGACAGGAGCTCCCTGACACAGCTCTCAGTGCTCTCCTCATTCTTGAGGGATTTGGGGTTCATAATTTGATTCCCCAACTCCAAGGAGGAGTGGGGAGACTCCAGCCTCAGTTGAGAAAAGCCTGGGAAGAGGGTCTCCAGACCCTTTTGCAGCTAAGCAGGACTCAGGTGAGCTTTGCTAAGGAGCTGATTTCAGCTCAGGAAGATGAGCTGAGCCCCAGTGCTGCTGCTGCAGGGAACAGCTCGGAAATGGGAGCTCCCTGTCCCAGGGGAAGGGCAGGAGAGGCAAAGGCAGCTCCTCCCACATCCAGTGGAAGAGAGGGAAGTGAGGAAACAAACACATTTGAGGCAGCTGTGGATTGCTCAAGTACAAAGGTAAGAGACACCCCCAGAGCAGGACAGGACCCAGGGCATGGCTGGAGCTGGGCCAGGGCAGCTCAGGCTGAGCTCAGGGCAAGGCTCTTCCCCCAGAGGGTGCTGGCACTGCCCAGGCTGCCCAGGGAATGGGCACGGCCCCGAGGCTGCCAGAGCTCCAGGAGCCTTTGGGCAGCACTGCCAGGGATGGACAGGGTGGGGTTGTTGGGTGGTCTGGGCAGGGTGGATGGGGACTCCATGATCCTTGTCCTATTCAGCTTAGCATATTCCATGATTCTGTCATTCTGCATGGAGCGAAATGCCTGGAACACTCCTGGGGACACAGCCTGCTGTGGGCAGTGGACAGAGGCTGTGCCCCAGGTGCCTGCCCATGATCCCTCTGGCTGCCCCTGTTCTCCTCCTTGTCTCTCCCAGTGCCCTGTTGGGTGTTCCAGCAGGGCTGACTCAGCACCTGCAGGCTCCAGCCCCAGCCCCATGGGGCTCTGTCACTGCCCACACTCAGGGTGTTCATATTCCAAAGGCTTGAAGGGGCACTGAACAGGAACAGGGAGGGATCCTCAGGAGAACACAGCTTGTGCTCGAACTGCCCACAGGTGTCAAAGCAGCTCAGTCCTTCCTGATCCATGGCCAGGATATTTTCCTAATCCATGGCCAGGACATCTGCTGTACCAGGCCATCAGGGGGCTTCTTCCACGTTGCATTATCCCTCTCTTGCCTCCAGCTTTGATGGGAAAGGTCTCACTGATGGAAATTACATCAGAGCCACAGCATCCCTCCATGAAGGTTTCATCCTGGTGAATCACAGTCATCCATTAGCAAAAGAAAAGAAAATCTTTCGGAACCGGTTGGATGAAATTCCTCTCCATAAAACCTGTCCACATCAGGTGCTGTATCTTGGCAGCAGAGATGGGGTCACCACACATGTGTGCCAGGGACCCCATTCAGGATGGGCCAAATCCCACCTGCACAGGCCTTTGGAATCCACTTCCCCATCCACAGGCAGAGGAACAGCCACATCCCCGTGCTGAGAATGGGAAGGGGGAGGAAGGGGAGAGCACAAACACCCTTCCATGTGACCACAACAAGGAGGGGCACAATCATCCTCTTGCCAGCTTGGCTTGTCCTTTCAGATGAACCTGAAAACCTAGAAGAAGGGTTTCTCTTCTGGTTCTCCTCCTGCTTGGAACTACCAGGCAGCAATCCATGGAGACAAATTCTGGAGAATTAAGGATGAACACGGTGTGTTCCCAGCACTGCCTGAGGGCCTGTGCTGTGGCTGCCTCTTCAGCAGTGCCAGGGGTCTGCTGGCGACAGTGCCAGGGAACAGTGGGTGCTGAGTGCTGATGATGAGGAGCCCATTCTTCCCAGGGATCCCATCCCTTATCCCTCCTGGCTCCTTGCTGCTGCCTTTGCTTCTGATTTCATTGCTGGCATCAGCGACAAGAGCAGAAAATTAAGTGTGACTTGCACGGTGAGAAAGGAAGGGAGAGGAAGGATCCTGAGATGGGGAACAGCCAACAAGGTCCTGAGCCCTTCTGGGTGAATCCCACTCAACTCAGCAACATCAGAATGTAAAATAAGTCTGGGAATATCTGAAAGAATTGTGCCAACCCCAGCAAGGCACAAAGCAGGGGTGAAATTCCCTTCATTTGAGCTCCTTTCCTACCTCACCAATACCAGAATGCCTCTGGAATGCCTCTGGAAACCAAGCTTCTCTGGGAATTCCTCCTGCCCACTGCATCCCCTTCTCCAATATTTGTCATTCGAATGGCTGTAAACACAGAATTGGCATCTGGACAGCAGGAAATCTAGGAAATTAGCACGAGGGACTCTCCTGGGCTTGTGGCCAATGTATAGTCCTAGGAGCCACTGAAAGCACAGCAGAGCCGAGCTCTAGAAAGCAGGAACGGTGTCACTAGGTTGGCAGAGAACAGCTCCTGCTCCATTCAGGATGAGTGACAGGAATTCCTCGTCTGCTTTGCATTTGGCAACTCCCCAGACCCTGCTTTGGGCAGGGCAAGCCCAACTCCCAGCTCTGCCCTTCAGCTGCTGGGGGAAAACCACAATGGTCTCTTTTTTTTTCTCATTTTTTTCCTTCCAGATTCATCCTGATTTTTTGCCACCTGGTCTGGCTTCCTCATCCCCAAGGAGCAGAAATTTGGACCACAAGACTCAGTAATTGATGTACAAGGGAGTCACACTGAGCCTATGACCCAAACAGGAGGTTCCATGTCACAGCATCCAGCAGATCTTCCAGCTTTTCCATGGCTTTGGGGCACTGCTGACCAAGCTGCTCTCTGCTCCTGAGCTTCAGATTCCAGTGTAGGTTTGAATCCTTCAAGAGTCTCGATGGTGCTTTTTGGGATGCAACAGAGAGTGCAGGACCTTGGGAAATCCTTCCATGCTGGAAGGATTGAAGGAAATCCTTCCATAATGGACAGATCCAAGCAGGAATGCAGGAAGGGGCTGGGGAGGTCCCACTCAGCAGCCTGTGAGTGTGGGCAAGTGCACCCCAAACTGGGCACACACAGCAGGGCTGGCAGGGCTGGCCAGCTCACCTGGCACTGATTTCCTGCTCCATCCTTCTGGCAGGACCATGAATTTGCACCCAAACACACCTGGAGCCTCTGCAGAGGCTGGATCATGGAGCTGGGCTGGCAGGAATTGGACCTGCTGGGATCCCAGGGCTGTCCTGCACAGCAGCTCCTGCCCAGCAGGCAGAGACGGGCCTGTCCCCATCACGGTGACACGAGGGACATGTTCGCTCCCAGGGGTCTGTGCCACACATTTTTGGCAGCCCCAGGGATGGATTTGGAGACAGACCACAACTGCAGCACTTTGGGCACTCCCTGGCACTCACCCAGGTGGAAACTGGCTGTGACAGAGGAGGGAAGAGCCAGCAGCACCCCAGAGTGGGGCACAGACCCTGCCCCACAGCATCCCTGGGTGGGACATCAGCCATCCAAGCATCCTCCTGCTCCTGCTCATGGTCTCTGCTCCCTCCTGCTGAGCCACCAGGCCTAGGACAAGGCTGGAAGGAAGCCATGGCCCTGCTGATGGCCTTCACTCCTGGCTGGCAGTGCCTCACTTCGTCTGGGAAGCTCAGCACCAGTCTCAGTGCTGGGAACCCCAAGGGATGGTGTAACCTGGAGCCCCCCAGTCTGACTTCCACACATAATCCTGGAGTTCCCTTGGCACTATGGCACTACCCTTCTCTGGCCCCTGGCAGCTGTGTGTGACAGGCTGCTCCTGCCTTCAGAGACCTCCAAACCCAGCAGGAGAGAGGGGCACAGGACAATCTCTGTGCTTTGATAAGGAAAAGCAGCCTCCTGATAAGCTCTGTGCCCAACCCTTCCTAGCCTGGCCCAGGGGGTGGCTGCAGTGCCAGGGGGGCACAGCCAGCTCCACTTTATGGCTCACTGGGTCCCATGGGGTGGCATCCACTGCACATGGACAGCAATGGTTTATTTTCTCAGCATCCCAAGGTCACCCTGGAGATGAAGCCAGTGGCACAGTGACTCCAGGGATGGGCACCTGAGCTGCCAGGCCCTGTGTTTCTGGAGAAAACCCCCCTATTCCCTAAATCCCAGTGCTGCTCCACTCAGGACATACCACAGAACTGAGCCCATCTGTGCAGAGCAGGAGAAAAACGGCCCTGCCCAAATCCTGGGATTGTTTCTGACATTCCTCTACCCCAGCTCTTAGAGACTGGGCCAGCATTTCCTGCTCTTCTGATCATTCTGGAACCCAAATGATGCTGGGAGGAGGTGGGACAGTTTGCAGGGAAACAGGAGCATGAGCAGGGCATGTTTCACGCAACCAAACCCTTTGCTGGCACCAGTTATAAGTTGCATAACCACCCAAAAATGCCTTATTTATCACTGTGGTGTTAAACGCTCAGATCACACTCCACATCCTTTTAAATCCTCAGCTTTTCAGCTGCTCCCAGTCCTTCACCCCTCGCAGATGACAACCACTTAGGAAAAAGAAATCTTTATTTTATAGGTTTTTTTTGTATACTTGTACACAAGTAAAATAAAATGCATATCTATATATACTGCAATCTTGTGAAGGGGCAGGCAGCATTCTTTAACAAATGCTGCCCGTAAACGTGGTGTGAAGGATGGAATGGAGATGGAAAAACTGCAAGAGTCATCAACATAGGATTAAAACAGCATCAAATCCATTACCTCTGCAAATGGGAACCTGCAACATTGTTCAGTGAGATGGTGAGTTACAAACAGACTTTAGACATTCTTTTCAGAGCATTTCTTACACTTCTTTTTTTTTTTTTTTTCCTGTAAATAAACCACATTTCTTTACCATCTGCTGTAGCAAAAGCTGCTTTGTGGGCAAGTGCAGTTCCGAAGACCAAAGGTATAATTCACAGGTTTCAGGACAAATAAATTATGTACATCTCAGTGTTTGTCTTTTTTGTTTTGTTTTGTTTTTGTTTGTTTGTTTGTTTTAATAAAGGCATCCAGTTAAGTTTTGTGTAACAAAGCTTTCTCAGGGTGGATGGGAGTCCTGCTTTTGTTTGCAACATTTATGGAGGTCAGCAAAAGTCAAGTATTAAAGTGTCATCAACCCAGGAAAAGAGTTAATTTTAGCAGAATAACAGTAAGCTCCACACCAAGGGGGGGATCAAAAGGCTTAGGCTGAGCTGTAACGTGGAGCTGTTCCCCTGCTGGGTGAGGCGGCACTGGGCCTTTGATCTGTTCTTTTTAGAGCAGCCCTGCCTCTTTTTGGTTGGGACTGTGGAAGGTTCAATGGGCTCTAGAAATTCGGGTCTCAACTTGGTCAAAGGAGGGTCTACAATGCTGGGGAAGGTCCCAAAGGGGGAATCGTTTATCTGCTTGTTGCTGCCATTTTTGGAACGGTCCGTCTCCATGTACTTGGGCCTGGACATGTTCTCCTTCTCCTTGAGGTGGTTGTTGGATGAGCGGCTGCTGTGGGAGGAGGGCCCTGCCTTGCCCTTGGCCTCGTAAATGAAGGACTTGTCCATCTCTGGCTGGCAGCACTTGGAGGAGCCGTCGTGGGAGCCCAGCGGGGGCAGCCCCGTCGGGAGCTTGCCCGACCTGGTTTTGGTGCTGAAGACGCTGGTGCGGATCTGGTTGAAGGAGTCCACACAGCTGTCCAGCTCCGAGCTCTGCAGCCGCTTCAGGTCCCGCCCCGCCAGGCGAGGGGGCAGGTGGCACTCCAGCTCCGAGGAGGAGCCCTTGAACTGCTTAAACCAATTCCAGAGCGAGCGGGCCTGGCAGTCGCAGATCCACTGGTTGCCGTTGAGGCGCAGGTACTGCAGGGACACCAGGGGGGCCATGGTGTCCCCTGTGAGCACGGTCAGGTTGTTGTTGAACAGGTACAAGGTCATCACCTTCCCCAGGTCGTGGAAGGCGCGCCGGTGCACCAGGCTCACCCTGTTCTGGTGTAGCAGCAGCCGGTCCAGGTTGATCAGCCCACGGAAGACGTTCTCCGACAGGCTCTTGATCTTGTTCCCGTGCAAAAACAGGTACGTGAGGTTGGCCAGGTCGATGAAGGTGTCGTCCAGCAGGATCTGGAGGTTATTATCCTGAAGGTAGAGGTACTGCAAGGAGAACAACCCTCGGAAAAGCCCCGTGGAGAGCTCCAGGAGCCCACAGCGATCCAGGTGGAGGGTGTGGAGGTGCACAAGCCCCCGGAAGGTGACAGGGTTGATGGATTTCAGGTTCGTGTTGTCGCTGAGGTCCAGCTCCTCCAGCTTGGTGAGCCCGTAGAAGGCCCCGGGCTCGATGAGGCTGATGTTGTTGGAGTGGATCCACAGGATGGTCATGTTGCGGCAGGAGGTGAAGCTGGTGGCCCTCACCAGGGTGATGCGGTTGTTGTGCAGGAAGATGCGCTGGCTCTGGATGGGGATCTCCGTGGGGATGGCTGTCAGCCCCTGCTGCTGGCAGCTGATGGTGATCTTGGGTTCACTGTAGCATACGCACGCCCCGGGGCAGGACTCCACTTCTGATGGGATGTTCAAGCAAAGCACCAAAATCAGCAGTCTGCTTCCTGAGTAAGGACAGAAATAGGGTGGGGATTAGGCAGGGTCATGGAGAGCACTTCTCCTGGCAGAGGAGCCTGAAATTCCCCCTCCATGTGTGGCATCACCAACCACAAACAGATGCCAGGGCAGCCAGTGATTAAAATGTAGGATTTACGATGGGATTCTGTCACTCAGCTCAAGAGCTTAAATCAATGTATACTTGTAGAGATGGAATCCCAGTGCCTCCTCTGACCTGCATCCTCAGGAGGTGAAAGAGTAGGATCAGCGCTTTGGATTTGCACATCCAATACCAGCCCCGTTCCCAAGATCTTACCTATGAGCAAAGGGACCAAATTCTGGGGCATTTCCCTCTGCCATGGGCACACCTGGCACAACTCAGCCCCTGGAAACCACCTGGGATGTACCAGGGAACCCCAAATCCCATCCCAGCAGTGCCACCAGCTCCTCACTTTGCAGGGTCATGGAACAACTCTTCCAAACAAGCAGGTCTCCCCACACTGCTCTCAAAACATGACTGTGACTTTCCACAAATAATTTTGGACTGATTTGATCTCCTGGGAGAAATAACTGTGAGACATTCCCAGAATAACTTTCAGGTCAGACCTGCCTGGAGAAGTCTCAGGGCCAAAAGGATCCTTTCCTTCTCCTGCTCAAAACTTTAAGCCACATATTCCTCCTTCCTCTCTCCCCATATTTTTTTCCTTTGAACCTGTGCAGCCACCGAGGAAGAGGAGGAAACAGCAGGATTTTCCATCGTGCTATTATAGGAGAAAGTCACGTGCAAGGCTTCCTTCAGGGATCCCAGCAAGTGTGCAAAGCAGGAACAGATTCCATGTGTCCCAAGCATGCTGGCAGCCCCATGGGGCTGGAAAACCCCAGAGAGGAACAATTTTATTCCTGGTGATGCCCAGCCACTTCCCCAGAAGCTGGGCTACACTGGAATCCCAGGGAAGCATTTTCGTTCACCAAATTCCCCAGCTGGGAGCTAGGAATGAGCCCAGGTGGAGGGAGGGGATGGACAGAGCAGCACCTTCTCCAAAGGAACCTCGAGGGTCCCTGAAGGTCCTGCTAGAGACCTGAGGTGAGCCAGGCTGTTCCCTGCTGCTGGTGGGAAGGGAGGCAGTGCCAGCACTGCTTTCCCAGCAATTAGCAGCCAGTAATTAGTCTGATTCCTCCAAACCAGAGATAAAATGGATGGACAGCAGCCAGAGCAGCGGGAGGCTCCATTTGGGAATGCCACATGTGAGCAGGGACACTGTGACTCCTTCCCAGCTTATCACAGCACCTCTGGCCAAAGGAAATGTCCTCCCCACCGCTGGGAATCTCCAGCCTGGGGACAAGACCAGCTTTGCCTCTCTTGTGGGAGGGTTTTCCCTTTGAAGAACTCAAAACATTGTTCCGGAATGTTGACGCCTCATTACAAAGTAAGGTGGAAAAGCAGAGTGCAAAAAGCCAGACAGGAAAGCCCAGAGGAGCAGAATGTGATGAACTGGGGAGACTGGAGCCAAATCCAGCCTTGCAAATTCCAGGGGGAATCTGAAGGCAGTGGCTGCACCTCCCTTAGAGCTGGCAGGTGCTGACGTGGCAAATGAAACCATGACAAACACCAACAATAACAGATTTTAATCACACAGAAACCTCACCAAATCTTCACTGAAGGAATAACAATTGGAAAAGCCGAGGTGGGAAAGTCTCATTCCTGCAAGAACAGGCCAGAATCCCAGCTTTGGGTGTCAGTCTGGTCAGAACAATTCACCATGTGTGGCTAATAAATCTGATGTGATCCAATAGTCCAATACAGGCAGGAGACTCCCATATATCATATTCCACAAGGGAAAAAAACCCCAGCTCAGCATGCAGAGATAATTGGAGCCTGATGCTATCAGCTGCTGAGCAACCCTGCAAGGCAGAGTTTGAGTGCGGTGTTGTGACACATTTTGGCTGCCTTGTCATGTTTTGACGTGTCACGTCCCATTGCATGAAGCACAGTAAAAGGAGACAGCTGAGACTCCCTGCTGCAGCCATGGCACACCAAGAGCAGCCTCCTGGGAAATTAAAACAGTGCTGGCCACTCTCTGGCCATCCCTCTGCAGCTGATAATGAAACCCCATGGGCAGAGAAATGGGATTTGCTGGAGCCTCCCTTGGCAGCTCCCTGATTTGGGTGATAGGGCTGAGGGTGACACTGGAGTCACCTCCTCATGCAACACCTCCCACTGCAGCAAAACAGCTCAGACTGGGACATGGGGCAGCATCCAACTGTCCCCAGGCTGCTCCTCCCTGCCACGGCCTGGGGACAACCCAGCCACAGCCTGAGTGCATCCCACAGCCCTTAGGATGGGAAACAGCAGAGGGATTGCAAAAACCCACTGCCAACAGAGAGGAGGCACAGTGACACCATCCCTGTCCCAGCTCCACCTGAGGACATGGTACATCCATGTAAATCCCTGTGTACATTTGGAGAGAGCTGCTGGCATAAGCCATGAGCATCATCCTGCCCTGTGCCAGATGTCCCACAGCTGAGTGGGCACAGGTGACCCACAGGGTCTCCCTTCCCCTGGGAAGCTCCTGGCCAGGCAGCAGGGTCCTGCACACCTCCTGGCTGTGCCCAGGAGGGTTAGGGGCACATCCTGCTGCCAGGCTCATCTCCAGGAGGGCAGGGGCACATCCTGCTGCCAGGCTCAGCTCCAGGAGGGAAGGGCATATCCTGCTGCCAGGCTCGGCCCCCCTGTCCCACCCCCATGCCCCGAGGCTGCCAGCAGCGCTGACTCAGTGGCACTGAGAGCTGCTGGGAAATTAATTACAGCAGGGCCAGGCTGTGTGCTTTAATTAGGGACCTGGTGCTCATGAGCTGCTCGGATTAGCTCCTTCCAGCGAGACAGTTCCTGTCAATCATCCCCCAAAGCCTTTTTCCAGTGGCTTTCCCAGCGTGTAGCCCAGCCGTGTCCTGGCTGACCCATGGCACAGCCCAGCCTGTCAGTCCCAGACAGGGCAGGGCCAGGGGGAAGGACAGGAGTGGGTGAAGCCCTGGGAAGCCAAGGTGACCCTTCTGTCCCCAGCCAGGCTGGGTGTGCAGTGACAGAGACCCCAGGGACCCTGCCACGGCTTTCCCTGCTCCCCCAAACCCTTCTCCAGGGACTGGTGTACAACCAGCAGCTCTGCCTGGTCTTGGTGTGTCCCAGACACAGTGGACACCAAGTGCCATCAGCCACGCAGACCTTGCACAGGGATATTTTTATTTGTTTTCCTGGAGCACTGGGCTCAGCTCTGGCAGTGAGCTCTTTACTTTTCCAGGAAACCTTCTCCCTGCCCTGAGGTCAGAAGGACAGGAGACAATCAAGGCCAGGTTGGATGGGGCTTGGGGCAACCTTCGGTAGTGGAAGGTGTCAGGGGGTGGAACAAGAGAAGCTTAAAGGTCCTTCCCAACCCAAAGCATTCCAGGCTTCTGTTATTCAGGGCTGTCAGGGAGGAGGGAGGGCAGAAGGTTCCCTGTCTGCCCATTCCCAGCTCCCAGTGGGAAACAGCATCGTCCCTTCACCTTCCAGATATATCCATCCTGACTGCTGTATCTGTATCACCACCAATGCATGTTGATCCTCCACCTCCAGCTGGACTCTCCCACCTCAGCTCCCATCTCTGCCCATGCCTGAGGAAAAGGCTCTTGGAATGACACCTGTCCCCTCCTCTCTTAGCTGAGAAACCATCCCTTCCTCTTTCAGCAAATGATTAAAACTTAACTCGAGAGTTCCTATCAAAAGCAAAACATGAAAGAAACTCCAGAACCTGGAACCTTCAGTCCCTCCAAGACTGTGGCTTTGAGTTTAGCATTTGTTCCTCCAGAGCTTTCTTGAAAGCCAGAAAGCTCCTTCAGTGAAGCTGCAGCTTCCCCTTTGCCATTCCCGAGTGTTCTGACTCATGGAACTGGAAGCAATTAAAGTGGGTCCATTATCTGCTCTCCGCCGCTCCCCCGGGCCATCGCCTTGTCAAACGTGGCAATTAGAAAGAAAAGGCTCCGGGGGCCTCCAACAGATGCTTTGCAAACTTTTTTCAGGAGGCCAGAGCGAGCTGCAATGCGATGCCCTTTGCACAGCCGGGCCTGTCCCCGCTGCTCCGCTCTGCCATCGATTCGGAGATATTCTAATGTGCCTTTCCTGCAGTGCGGGGTCAATAATCATCAGAATTCTCTCCTGCCCGGACATAAAGGGAACATTTCACAATACAAAGCCTTTTGCTGATGCACACGGCGTTTCGCCTTTGTTTATAGCAGGGACATGCTGGAGCTGCCGAATTCCCCACTTGGAGTGGGCATCGTTTGAAATTCCGTGGGCATCGTTTGAAATTCCATGGGCATCGTTTGAAATTCCACGGGCATGGTTTGAAATTCCGCCCTCGGCTGCTGCTGGTGCCTCCCGCTCCGTCCCGTGCCAAAGGTGGGGCTGTGCCTGTGCCACGGGGAAGAGGGCAGTGCTTTGATGCATTTCAATGGAGGTGGATGGAGAGATCAGTGAGGAAGGACAATCGGCTCGGAGTGGTCTGGAATTTCCTCTCTTCTGCTGCAGAGAGGATGAGGGTGAAGCTTTGCTTCGGTGAAACACCTGGGAGAGGCACCAGTCGCAGCTGTGGGGCACAGCAGGTCCTGCTGCCCCAGGCAGCTGCAGCACAGCATTTTGGGGCTGAAGCAGGTCCTGGGGCACCTCTGTATCTCCATGGGCATTTTGGGGTGTCAGACACCCCTCTCAGGTGGGACAGACCACGAGGTCACTGGGGTGGGTGAGCTCTGGGGTTCTGCTGGGGATGCTCCAGGTCCAGGGGCTGGAGCTCGGGCCCAGCTCACACGAAAACACCGGGGATGAATCCCAGCAGCCTGAAAATGGGAGCTGATTCCCTTTTGGGCACAGCTAGAGGCCTGAGGCAGCAAGACTGCTGCAGGCAGGATTGGGGCAGCTCTGTGTAAGACCTGTGCCAGCCCTGCCTGGAGCTGCTGGGATGGGAGCAGCAGAGGGGCAGTGATTTAGGCAC